AAATGTTCTTGTTCTTGCTGACTTCAAGCGCATTTCATTCTCCGTCAGGAACACGATTTTTCTCTTTGATTTGTTGGACAAAAAATCACAATCGGTGACCTGGTCCGAAAGCTTAGGTCGACATCAGACAAAGAATGACTCACACGCGTACTTTACTAACCACTTCTAGTAGCAGCAGTAGTAGCAGCAGCACCAGGAGAGCGCCCCTAACCCGCGTGGGCAGCTGTCTGGTCAAGGCGTGCGCCGCTAATGAATAAATTAAGCGTTTAGTTTAATAGGCATCCGGCCTCCCGCCTGATTGATCTCTGCCATCTCGCCGGATCTCTGGCCGTGCGTGGCACTAGCCGCCGGCACTGGCCTGGGCCCGGGCGTCAAGAGAGAGAGAGTGGGGAGCGAAAAGTCCCTGGTGTATTTTTATAAGTTTTTCTTATTTTTAAAATATATTTTTTGTTATCACATATCTCAATCTGGTTGCCGCGATCTCTGCGCAGCGCGGAGAGGTGTGGTGCTGTTTGTGTTTTCCAAAGTGGACTGTTTTTCGTTTAGATTAATGCCGCGGAGTGGGAAAACTGGCCGCGCGCGCGATTCTCTTTCGGAGATTATTATTATTTTTCAACGCAGAGTATTGATAATAGGCAGATAATCTGAGCGGTATTTAAAAACGTCTCGCGCTTCCAGTGCGTGAGCAAAGTCAGTGTGCGCGGGGCTGCGTGTCTGGCACCGCGCGGGTTCGTGTGCGCGCGCACACACACACACTCGCACTCGCGCTCGCGTCTGCTTGCGTGTGAATGTGCGCGGGACGGTGGTCGTCCCGGTGTGGTGGTCGGGTGGGACTGTGCAGATGTTACTGAGCAAGAATTACAGCCCGATTTGTCCCGAGGTTGCACGCAGAAACGACTTTCCCTTCGTGTTTGGCGGGCGGGTAGAGAGAGCGACAAGGAGAGAGAGAGAGAGAGGGGGGGGGGCGTTGTACGACGAGGTAGGGCCAGAGGGGAGGGGATGAAGAAACAAATGGGGATGTCCGTTCGGTTCCGCGCACGGGGCTGGCTAAGTGATTGTCGCGCAGACAACTTCACCTTGCGACACCCTCTGGCTGATAAGGCGCTGCGGGCGTTGGCCAGAGCGTGGGGACCCCCCCCCCCCCACCTTTTCCACAGACAACCGTATCCTTGGTATTTTGGCCACACTAGAAATACGACAACATTATCTGAAAAAACAAGTCGCACTCAAAGTATATACTTTAAAAGCGTACATCGCATGCTCATAATACATACATTACAAACAGTGAAGTGTGAAGTCCTTAAAGGCGTTATGCAGAAGGAACAGAAAGACAGAAGGAAAAGTAAGACAGAAAGAAAGAAAGAAAGAAAGAAAGAAAGAAAGAAAGAAAGAAAGAAAGAAAGAAAGAAAGAGAGAAAGAGAGAAAGAAGACAAGGGGAAAAAATTGCGACAGATGAAGGCATCAAAGTAATCGCCAGGTGGTGCACGGTTGGTGTGGTAGAAGTATACTGGGCAGACAATGAATCGTTTTCGCAGTGCTTTCCCTCCCCGCGCTCCAACCCCCGACCCTGGCGCGGGCGGGCCCTGGCTCTCCCACAGACTCCCGTAGTTAGCGGTCTCGTTTTGCACACCCTCTCTCCCGTAAATCGCTGTCATTTGTTACTCGGTGGTCCCCGGCGCCGGCCCTCTGGCCCCTGGCTGCCCCTGGCCCTCCCGGGCCTCACCCGCCGGCCAGCTAAGGGGCGGGTGGTCGGGGCCCAGGACCCAGAATCTGTGGGAGCACACCAACACCACACGTCCCGAAGTTTATTATTTGTTCAAAACAACATATTATTCTTTTTAGTCTTGTAACATTTAGTAAAAGGTTTGAAGTAAGGGAAGGGAAAATGTTTTATTTTCACCGCTTAGTAATACCGCGCGTTTCTCGTCGTGCGCGTCGTTTCACCAACAAAGCAAACGCACGCACACATACACACACACATATGTTTTCGGACGGACCGCTAAACTTTCCTCGGCCGCCCAAACGACAGAAAAAGGAATCCCTTTGCCGCTCTGCTTTGGCGCGCGCTTTCGCGACACGCCAGACTTGCATAATAACAGCGCGCGCGGACACTCAGACGCGTCATATTTCACGCTGCAAATTTCATTAGTGTGTTGTGATGTCGTCCATTTAAGAGCGGCCCTTAATTCAGTGGGCCATTAAGGCCAGCCTTGCTCAGATTTCAGCGGCGGCGGCGGGGAATCCATTAGAGGTCCTCGCCTCGCACACAACACACACACACTCGCAAGCACATACACACATACACGCGTGGCTAATGTGCTCGAGTTGCAGCGCAAGATGCACTGCTGCGTGCGGGGCTCGGCTCTCGCGTGCGCACGTATACCGACGACAACTGCTGATTTCCATCTTTGTACCAAACAGCCGCGTGCGAAGGCCTCTCTCCCTCTCTCTCCCTCTCTCGAAGTGCAGCGCACACACGTCCGGCCGTATTGATTGCTGCACTCTGAGGCACTCTGTGTGCGGCCGGCGTGCTCTGATTAACCATTCGCCCATTCCGTGATAACAATAATAATTACCTCAAAATGCGCGTTGGTCATTATTCAGGAAGCACCCCCCTTTCCCCCCACTCTAGTGTGCTTTGTTTGTTTGTTTGAACGCGGCGGGCAAATGATTATTTTTGATGCAGGTGCGGCGGGGGGCGGGGGGCTCGTCCGTCCACAGTCATTAACCCCCCTCCGCGTCCTCTTTCTTTTAATTTCTAATTGACCATTAGAGTCTCCTCGCCTTCCCGCGGCGCCTACTCTCTCTTTTTTCCACCCCGCCTGTTAGGTAGGCAACATATTGCTTGCAGCG